TTTCAGGTTTCAGGCTCGAAAATGACATTCCCAGAACAAATGACCATATCTTCCCTAAAAAGGTTAAATTAATAATCTTTTTTCTCAAAGTAATGATAAACCTGTGAGTTGGATGTAGAAAAGTCAGATTCAATATAAATGTTTTTTATTTTAAAGAAAATTCAGATTGAACATGGTAAAAAACTGTAAATTATAGTGTCCGTCCAAAATATATTTTGTACTTATAGTGAAAACTAACCTTGGATGATGGGTTAGTAGACTAAAAGCTTTAGGAATCCAAAGTACAACATATAATAAGTACCCTGTATCAAGATTGATGCAAAACAAGTGATATTTGACCTTTTTAGACAGATTTAGCACAAAAAACCCTCTTCTGGGACCATTTGGGTGGATTTTTCATATCTCTGGCTCCCCTTGCTGGATTTTGACATGTGACATCTCTTTCTAACCGTCAGAGCCAATGGAATCGAGGGGAACTCCCACATAGTCCTTATTTGGTCATGTGTGTGTATTATACTGCCGCATAGCCAAGACCGGAAGCAGCAGCCACTCTGGTGGCTACCATTAGCAGCTAACTTTTGCTCTGCGATTTTTACATAAAAATGGAATTATGGATTATAAATAATTCCAATTATTGCCCAGAAACTTTATCAACCTATGGATTAACCGATTCAGTCGCGTTTTTTCTCGTTTTAATGCCATTGAACACGTCTTTTGATCAGATTAACAGCTACGGTGAGGCGATCTCCCTAGAAACTACGTAAAGGTACGTGTTGTGATGTCTGTCTTTGCTTCCCCTGTGATGATCACTCAGTGATGATACTATATACCTAAATAATCTGTGGAACCTCAGTTTTAATCGGATATCTTGTATGTGCAGCTACGATAAGTAATAAGGGTACTTTTATCTTGAGTTCTGTGCCAATGTCCGTTAGCATTTTTCGCTAAGGGGTCATTTAGATGCTTCTTATGAGACTTGTGTTTTGTTTTGGTAAAAATGATTTATATCGTCAGTTAGCTGAGATTATTTCCGTTAATCTGGTATAACACATTAATAGGTTCTTAAATATTAAGATCCCCTGAGACACAGTGTCCTGTCGCCGGCAGGGACCTTGGGGCTTAACAGGTTAATTACATTAATACTCCCTTTGTGGAACTTATACAATATATAAAATAGAATGTCATGCTGAACTCTTGTAATTAGATGGTGCTTTCATTGCTTTTGACATTTGCGCATTAAATGTCCTTTATCTTTATACATTTTTACTCTCCGTAATTGTTTCATGTCATTAACAATCAGAACTTGTGAAGGACTGTTGAGTACTTTTCCTGTGAGGCCGTTTCACATGACTCTCTCACTCCAGCAGCAAAGTATTCCCTTAAACATAATACAGATAACAGAACACACTTCTGGGAAAATATCACTCAATTATGAACGATAATACAGAACACTTTGAAAATCCAACAAAAACAGTACTCATTACAGCCTCGGAATATGCAGTTAGTCTGACTGCTGCGCTGCTGTCTGCCGAATAATTCAAAGCATACCCAAAAGCAGAGAACTGAATCAATAGTTCAAAGCTTTATTTTTCAAGGCAATTTTGGGCTTTATGAAACTAAATTGACAGGGCTTTGACTAAAGGACACAAGCACAAAATGAGTCATTATAGTAAATCTCATGTGTTGCACAATTACTGCCTGGTACTCAGTGTGCCAGACTTAATGAAGAAGAAAAAAGAAAAAACAGCTCATACTTCTGCAGCCCTCCAGATACTGTCAGCAACGCTATATTAATTATCCATCCGTCCATTCACCTACTATCTATCTTAAGTAGCGTCAATGTCAAAAACAGCCTACACTCGCATATATCTGGTGAAATGTAACTGATATATTGACTTTCATACATTTGACACGGTACTGAGATAAAACTCTTACATCGTTTATTGGCTCCAGCTCTTTTCAGCTGTCTGACAGTTCACCTCTGTGTATTAAAAAGCTTTGCGCACTCTATAGAGCAGCGGTTCTCAAACTGTGGTCCGCGGCTGCAGGTGGTCCGTGGAAAAAAGCTAAATAAAATCCACTTTTTATTATGAAGGATTTTCGCGGACCACCTCATAATATATGCAAACTGTAAAAATAAGTACATATATAAAGTTGTGTTAAAACGCAGATATTTGTTATTGTTAATTATGGACAACACTTAATTTTACCCATGGTTACGTGTGCGCGTTTAAAATCACAAAACATGGATCGGTGGCTAGCATCAGGTTCTCTGAAGAGAAAAGAGGTTAACGTTACCCTTAATTAAGATAATGAGAGTGAGTCGGAGGCATCTATAAGCCAGATTCCGCGGAAGAAAAAAAAGAGAGGGAAGATTAAGAGAAAATACAATAAGAACTACTTAGAACAGGGATTTACCTACACAGGCACTGAACATGAGCCTTTGCTCAGACACTGGCTAACGAGAGCCTAAAACCAGCTAATCTTCGCCGTCAATCTTGGAATCTGGCTATTAGATGCCTCCGACTCACTCTCATTATCTTCATTAACGGTAACGTTAACCTCTTTTCTCTTCAGAGAACCTGATGCTAGCCACCGATCCATGTTTTTGGTTTTGCACGCGCACACGTAACCATGGTTAACCAGTGGTGAAAGGAAGTGTTGTCCGTAATTAACAATAACAAATATCTGCGTTTATATATGTACTTATTTTTAAGTACTTTATTTGTATTTTCTTTTTTTTTTCACGGACCACCTGCAGGTCCGCGGACCACAGTTTGAGAACCGTTGCATTATCTGACCCCCACCACCCTTAACTAAAATCTGTTCTTCTTCTCCCTTTGTAGATGCGTAGTACTAGAGGTGTTTCAGTTTGGCCTGTGGGATTTGTAGGGGGCAGAGCGTACGAGCGGCCCCTGGTATCTGGGGGTAAAGTCGTGGGCTGGTACACCGGCTGGAGACCGGACCGACCCTTCGCCACAGACATGGCAGGTAAGAAATAATACCTATACCAACCAGAGAGTACTCCAAATGTTTTACGAATGAAAATCAGTTCACCTGGATTTGAATTTAGCCTATACAAATGGCTGTGGCTCTGTAGGTCAAGTCTGTGAAAATGGGACAAGAAAACCTGAAAGTGATAAATCTGTACGCTCTAAAAACAAATGCCTTATCTCAACAAAGAAAATCAACGCAACAGTTTGCATCGATGTTTATTGAGTTAAGACAACTTCTAATGAAATTGTCTTAAAGCAACACAGTTATTTGAGTTAGGGGAGAAGGCTTTTCCTCTAAAATCAGAGGAGTTTTTAATTACCACTTACTTAATAATTGGTTGCATAAAGTTTTGAAGTTGATTGCTCAAAAATTAAGTTGTTCCAACTTGTTTTACCGTATGATTTAAAAGGAATTTTAAGTTGTATGTACTTAATTACCATCATTGTGAACACACGTTTTTAAGTTGACAACCATCTATAAATGAAGTTGCTCCATACTTTTTTTCTCTGTTCTTTATTCCGATGTAATTGTAGCAACAAATACTATACTCGTCGTAAGATAAACGACACACGGGGAAAAGGGTACCATTTAACCGATTACACAAATAAATAATAAAAAGCACCGCAGCCGCCTTTGAAATTTAAGCACACAATAGAATAGAAAAAAAAGTTCGAGTCCGTTGTTCAAGAAGGTCCTTCTGGACCCACATATATGTAATGAGGAGTCGACGGTATATTAGTCGAGTATTGTCCGCAAGGAGAAATTCGGATTAATGTAAAGTGAGTAAGAGGCTTCGTCGGTTTAGTTGCACGACGTCGGTTTGATATTTTACCAACAGAGGAGAAGATGGAACGTCAGTCGACACTAAAGTCCACAAGTACGTGGGAATAGTATACCGTACACAGTTATGAAAGTTGACTTAAGAGAAACTTTGTAGTACACTAACTTTATTTGTTGACGTCAAGTTTATTTTCACTAACGGATATAAAAAACAAAAGACCTTAATTAATTACAGGAAAGAAATTTCAGTTTTTGTACTTTTATCGATCCTTTTTTTTTTGATAACTAATNCCTCAGGATGACTTTAAGACTTGAACATGGTCATTTTTGTTTTGTAACATTGAATACAAAACAATTTTTTTTTTATAAAATTCTTTTTTTAAATTTTTTTTAAATCCCGATACCCGATTTTTTCCCCCCCGATTCCGATCTTTTGAAAATCACGTGATTGGCTCCGATCCCCGATCACGTGATCGGATCGGGACATCTCTAGTCATGGCTAATGTAAAGGGGCTCTGTTTCGCCTCTTTGGGGGGTTTTCCCTTTCCTGTAGTGTGTTATGTAGGTTTTTGTGTATTTAAATTGTCTGGAAAAAATAACAAAATGCCCCACTAGGTTTATCAGATAATCCACTGTTCCTGCATGCAGTTTGGTGCTGGGTTAACCCCGAGAAAACCAACATGTGTGGTGCTATCCCTTATGCTACACAGAATTGGGCGGCTGTGGCTCAGTGGATAGTGTGCTGGACTTCAAATCAGGGGGTAGCAAGTTCGAGTCCCACAGCAGTCGTTGTGTCCCTGGGCAAGACACTTCACCCCAAATTGCTCCTGTGGGGATTGCCCACCCCACAGTACTGAATGTATGTTAGTCACAAATGACATGTAGTAATGATCATTTGATCTATTAATACAAAAAAGGGAAATTGCAGCTTTAGCACACCATATAAAGTTATATTGTTTGAGACTTTTAATGATAAAATGTGACTATATTGACACACCAATCCATCCAAAATTAGGCCATCAGTAGACCCATGATATCATTCTACAAATACAAGCAATATGTCATTAATAGTTTGACATGAAAACAACATAGGAAGTCGATTTTTTTTGTTTCAGACAGTCACACTTTCAGTTTTTCCAGCTGTGTCAATACAATCCTGAATAGGTTTCAAGTAGACAACCAGTAACCACTCTAGAGCTGATAATAATGATGGAGAGAATACAAGTGACATACAAGAGAGTTAACAATTCCTACTGTATTAGTAGATGCATTACAGCGGCCCATCGCTTGATACATGTATTCCTCTGTAGGTCGATTTGAACAACTAAACTAAATACTTAATGCCTGCATTTGGTGAGCTAACAGAGAAGCTAGACCCAGAGCAGGAGCGTCTCCAGAGTCTCGTCCTACAACGAGGACACCGACTCCTCTTTAACTCGGCACAACAAGGATGAAACAGAATGAGAAACACAAACAGACTCACACACAGCGCGAGTAATGAAGGAGCCGCTGCCCGTAGAAGAAACTCATTTGCATGTTGCATACCTGCTGTGTATTCACATGCACGAAACACACACACACACACACACACACACACACACACACACACACACACACACACACACACACACACACACACACGCGGATCAATGACGATTTCCTCGGGCATGCCTCAAGAGCAATATTTCTGCCACAGTGAAATCATTTTACTATTTAGAATATATACTTTGCTGACCATGAACTGTAAGCCTCCAATGTTAGATACCTCAGGCAGAGCGGAGTGTTTTTTAACTTTAACTATATTTATTTCACAGAGAACAAAAATGTCTGTCGAAGCTACTGAAATTAGGGCAGCAATCAAAAGAATATTCAGTGCAAACTGTAATTACATTTGTTGATTATTTAACCAATCATGGTTTAGATAAAGAACTTGGTGATTACAATTGTCATGAATAATTACAAATCTCAATCAAAGGTTATCAAATCTCAATATGATGGCTTTTTGAAAATGATCAAAATTGGGATTAATATTCAATAAACTACTTAAAATAAAATATTACAACACTACGTTCCACCTGCTTCTTGTTCAGGTCATGTGGTTTTAATCAGATGAAACCAACATGTCTGGATGTCAGACACAATACACCAATGATCAATTAGGATTCAGAAAGGCTAGTGGCTCATTTGACATGCGCTGCCTTGAGCTCACAACATACTAAAACACAATAAAGAACACTGATACTACTTGAGGCTATACAGCAAACACCTTTGACTAATTGCAGTGAGCACGATGAACACATCTGAAGGAGAGATTTGATTTAAATGCAAAAGCAGAATCACTTGTTATGCTGTATAGGGGAAATTGAGTTGGAAGCATTCAGGATCCTTTCATCTTACAGAGTGCGCAGTGTGAATAGCTTATGCATTTCAGCTATTTCAAAGGTGGGTGTCTGTGTTTCGCAGCAGCGTGGGACTTCAGCTCATATGCAAGAGCTCATTTCTATAGGTGACATCTTTTATTCCTCTCCTCTCCCTTCTTGTCACCCACTCTTCTTCCCATGAGATAGATGTGTCTGACTGACGAACTGAAAATATATATCATAATTATAATATCTATTATCTGATCATTTTCACAAAGCGCACGCAAACATGCATCACAAATCACACAGACTGCCTTTAAAGAGAAGGAGTCTCAGAGCATCTAATAACTAAAATTGCTGTTGCCGAAGAATTGATGATTTATTAATAAAAGGGACAAATACACAAAGAAAAGCCTCTGAGTTTGACACCAGGTGTTTGACAGTACTTTGGGGTTTGTGGGCGAGGGGCAATGATAGGATGT